TTTTTTTAATTTAATTATGATTTCTAATTTAATTATAATTTCATATTTAATTATAATTTTGTATTTAATAATAATTTTGTATTCAATTACGATTTTGTATTCAATTACGATTTTGTATTCAATTACGATTTTGTATTCAATTACGATTTCATATTCAATTACGATTTCGTATTAATTACGATTTCTTATTTAATTAAAATATGGATATCATATTATTATTAAAAATCATATTAATATTAAAATTAAAAATCTAATTCCACCACATGTATGGTATAAGCATGCTTATTGAGGAGTCATCCTAATTGTCATATTTTTAATTCTGTGAATTCAGTTTCAATAAAATGCTTTATAACATTATCCACTATACTTTTTTTGCATCTGACATTGGCTATGATATTATAATAGGCATCTTTTTTTTTATAATTATAAATTATGGTTGCTTTTTGTTTAGAAGTTAATTTTTTATTAGCAGGCATTAGCAGTTATGCAAAAATTGAAGTGAAATTTTTAAGTAAATAAAAAAAAAATTTTTTTTATATAATAATATATTTTATAAATTGAATATATTACACTTATATATTGAGTATATTTTTATTAAAAAATTTAATTAGTTTTTAAATTAAATTTTATTTTTTTAAAAAAAAAAAATTGTTTATAAACTTTGTCCACCCTTTATATAATAACAATTTTATCTATCAATAAAAGGTAAAAGCAAAGATATTGAAATGAAATATGAAGATTAATCAAGTTATTTCATATGACAAATGGTTTAATATATATTCTTTTGAAGACTTGAATCACTTTTAATTATCTGATGATAGCATCTATTGATAATTATAATAAATTTTTTTCAAAAATCTTATAAATAATAATAAAACTTTTCATAAATCTCTTTTATTCAATAAACAAATGATATAAAAAGTTAAAGTTATATATCAAATAAAATTGATAAATAAAAATCATATAAGATCTTTATAATTATATACAGTATAATATTAATAATAAAATATTATGTAATCAAATTATATAATAATTTGAATTTTTATTATTAATACTTTCAATACTTTAGTTTGATATTGATACTTTAAAATATTGTATCAAAAATATTCAATAATTATCATTATCAATATTGAAAAAAATTTTTAGTATCAGTTTTACAAAATACTATACTGAATAGTATTGATCAGAATTCTAGTTATAGTTGATAAAGTAATCAAAACTGATATATATATATATATTATTATTTATATTACAGTCAGGAGTTTTATCCAATTTGGAAGATGTAGATCACACTATTTATAGTAAGAAATCAATTCTAAAAATTTCTAGTACATTATAGAAAAGTTTTAAAGTTACATTTTAAAAGTATAATTGTTTTTTATTGATTAATACTAATACTATTTTCAGATAATATATTTCTAATATCTTAAAGAGTATTTGCCAAGGTATTGCTAGATTTGTTTGATAAGCCTCGAAAACACAATCATTTTGTATTACTTAAAAAAGGGATTAAAGAATTAATTATAGATAATATTTGTGATTTTGTTAATAAACTTTCGGTTTTTTGATGGTCTGCTTCTTCACGAATTATTAATATTGGTTGCCAAAAACCTAATGATTTTTCTTTAGTTAGTTTTGCTTTAATAAAATTTATTCTTTTTGTTTACGCAATTTTACTAAATCTTTTCATTTCTTTACTTATTAATATCCATTCTCCACTTATATTTTTAAAAATATGATTATTAGCATTTGGATTTACAAATTGTATTTTTCTTATTCGAATCTGAAATTGTTATAATTCTATAATAAAACTAGGACTTGTACAAGACTTATATGTTTCATTTTTAGTATATTCTATTACATTAAAAAGATTAGTACATAATTTCAAAAATTTGGTATAATTATATGCTGCAATTTTCCAATGCTGTTGTGAAGGTATAGAAGGAACTAATGATTTGAGCATTTTATTAATCTCTTCCAATATTGCATCATAGCCTTGATATTGATCAAAAAGTTTAGAACATGAAGTTACAATTCTTTCTTGAATTAACTTATCAATTTCAGGCCTTAAGTATAATCTTTGTTCTTAATCAGCAAGTTCAATTAGTTAATAAATTGGATATCATTGGACAGACCAAATTGGTACAAATGTTCGTCTAGCTGCAAGTCTTAATAAAGGTCTATTAAAGCAAACTCCAATATAAAAATTAATAATTGCTTGTAAATACAAAAAAATTTGCTCAAACTTTAATCTGAATATAGAATCTGTTTGCTTTTGGGCCTATTCTAAATATTCTTCAACAGTAATATTTTCTTCTGAGATAATGTATAGCCATATTAATTCAGATGCCATTGCATGCCTATATATATTACATATAGAATCCCATGATTTATGATGGTTAGAACAATTTTTAAAAAACTGTAATTGATTTTCAGTTCAATATCCCTGACATTGAGCAAAATCTCTTATATTAATGTTCCAGTTTAATTTGACAAATACCTTTAGCATATTTATTTTTTTATGAAAAGTGTCTGAAACTAATATAAGCCATGGAAAATCTTTTTTTATTTTTAATGTATGATGATATGGTACTTTATTACAGGTTACCACAACCCATGTATGACTATCATCTTTAATATCAGATATTTTTTCAATATGTTTAAGCACCTTCTGAACATTAGAAACTGAGTTTGGATTAATTCCTATTGGATTTGGAACAGATAATTGTGGCATATAAATCTTACTCTCCAGATTTAATTGTTTCTCCCTAAACATACGAGAATAAATGCCTTGTGATTTTGCAGTAGTATTCATAATATCAGGTAACTTATTAAATTGCCAATCTAGCTTAACGACAGTTGATAAGTTATTATTGCATATAGAACATATTTGCTTTCTATTGTCAATATTAGATATTTAACAAACTAAGTATTTTTTTATATATCCTGTTTGACTTTGATGATGTGCTGATTCATCGATCATATTTGTTTCTTAATTTTTCTCGATACAAAGTTCTTCTAAAATAGTAGTAAAATAATTAATAAGCTCTTCGTGAATTTCATTTCTCATATCTGATGTTAAAAAAAATAACTCCTTATAATGCTGTTGGAGAAGTTCAGAGTATAACCAGGAATCCATATTCTATATATTAGAATCTTGATTATAGTTAAAAGAAACAAAACTCATAATAGTATGAAATATAATGGTATTAAATCCATGATTTAAGTAATTTTTTTGATCTTTCTGTTTATTGTCGAAGGCTAAAAATAAGAAACCTTTGGAAAGTGGTGGCAGTTTTGTAGCTAAAGTTTTTAATCATTAGTAAACTTTGAATAACCATCAGAACTCATTATATAATTATCAATGTCAATAACCATTTTTGATCTTACTAATGAATACTTAATGGCTGAAGTGGTCAAATTGACAGTAGATATGTATTTTAAGTATCTTGCTTCATATATAGCATCAACTGCTATTGCATATTTAAAAAGCTTTTCTCTTTCATATTGATCTTTGTATTTGTTATGAGTAAGGACCTGTATAAACTTTATAATAACTAGATTTCACTCAGAAAACCATTTTGAAGGAGAATACTCCAAAAGATTATTTAAATTAAATCGATATTGATTTTTTATTAAACTTGTTATATCATTATATATATTATGTTATTCTATTTTAGCAATCTCCATTACCAACTTCAAATGATCTTATTTGTCGATAAGCTTTTCATTTAACAATCTTTTTAGTGTTTCATTTTCTGATAATAATTGTTGATTAAGACTTTCCAACTTTTCAATCCTTTTAAAAAAATATTTCATACTCAAGATTCGGTAAAGATACTTGAACTCCAAAATTGAAAAATCCACAATCGTCATTAACATTAGTAAGCTTTCTTTTTTTTCTCTCCTTTTCTTTCAAATCTGAATAACTTGAATTATCCACTTTACTTTTCATTTTAACAAAAGAACTTTTGACAATCTGGTTATAATGTTTTTCACATAAAGAGTAGTTTTCTAAAGAATTAATCAATAAAGATAGTTCAGAAAAATACTTAACCATATTTGTTAATCGCTTTACTAATGCGTCAGCTGACACATGTCACCACCTTTAATTCTCTTTAACTTTACATTGTGATAATAATAACTGACTATCCTTTAAAAGATAACTGCATATACAAGGTAGATCTTTAGCTTTAAGTTTTGAGCTCATTTTAAAATGTGTATAATCAAAGTATATAGTACTAGTAAAATTAAATGTGATATTGAGGAGAAACGGTTTTGCAAAGTTGCGTGGATTACTGTGGATCCTGAAAGTATATACTCGTAAAAGTGTATAACAACTGTTAACTTGATTCTTATGACAGTGTTGGATCAATAAAAGCATTATGAAAATTTTTTATATTAAGCCAATCAGATTGTGAGATTTGCTTAGAATTTTCGAGAACTGGTCTCCTAAATCGGGTAAAATTCCTGATTGTATTATTTTTCTATAATTCAAATAAAACAATTATTCTTTTCAGCTAATCAAGGAATTTTTTTAACTTTTTTCAACTCTTCAATAAAAACCAATCAAATCTTAAATCAAATTATCATATCTCTTTGCCTTATAGTAAATAAATCTTGCTGAATTTTTTTACTTTACCAACTCTAATATATTATGACTGAGATTATTTCTCTCTAACTTAAGTGACTCCCTACTACAGTTGTCCATTAATCTATTTAATTTTAAAGTTTATTGAATAGGTTAACACTATATAATTAAAAATTAAAGAGTTTCAAGTATTATTAAACATTAAATAAATTTCAAGAAAATTAAATATTAGTAAGATTTTTCAAACTTTACTTTTAATTAATAGTAAAAAAATTTTTTTTGAGTTAAAAAATATCATTTATTTACTTATTTATATATTATATTGTTATAGGAAATCATAGTAAGTCAGTTATTTTAATCTATCTTATACTGTATATAATTGAGACAATTTCTTCTCAAAAGAGATATATTGTTATAAGAAAATTATAATAAATCAATTGCTTCAATCTATCTTATACCATATAATGTTTGGACTGCTTTCTACTCAAAAGAGATATATAAGTTTGGCCAGAGTTTATAATATTGATACAAATCAGTCCATCAATATTAAATCCTAAACTATTACTTCTTATATAACAATTTCATTAGCTATACTATATTGGAGTAGAATCACAAGGCAAAGTTTATTAATAAAATATAGTTTATTAGCTAATAATTATGCAGTACCTATTTTGATTGTCTTTACTTTTTAAATATTTTCAAGTTACTTATATATATTTTGACTTTATATCTATTATATATATTATTTTTAATATACTATTTATATCAGATATATCTTTTATACTTGATATATCACTTATACTTGATATATTACTTATATCTGATATATTGATTCTTATAATTTCCTACTATTTATCCATTATATTTTCCTATAACAGTATGAATTTGATTAGATTTCATAATACTGATACAGATCAATTTATTAATCTTATATCTCAAATAATTACTTCATATATAGTATAGCAATCCTATTAGCTATACTATACTGGAATCAAGTTACAAGACAAAGTTTGTTAACAAAAATGGTTTTTATTAATAGTGTTGTATAATATATTGTATATTCTAATTCTTTTCATTTTTTAATTATTATTAAATTACTTATATATATTTTGACTTTATACTAATTATATATATTATATCTTTTATATCTGAAATTAAAGATAGGTTTTCTAGGTAAACTTTTTTTGCTAATTCCTTTGCCAATTCAAAAAACAGATATTCTCAAAAATATTTCTTTATTTTTAATAATAAAGTCTATACATTTTTCCTAAAAACATTACTTTTTGAAGGCTGGTATCTCTTCTACTTGTTTATCTTTCCTTTTTCTAAAAACTTTATATATTTCTATAACAAAATAAACAAAACTTTATCTATTTGGTTTATAATAAGAACACTTTACTGAAAAAAAGAAACCTGTCAAAAAAACACCTTTTACTATATTCTTTTTAAATCTGGAACTTCAGAAAGTAAACCACTAGTAAATATATTTTTTAAGCTTTATAAAAACCTTATATCTATTGTAAGCAAACACCTTCTGCTTAAGATAGGTGAATAAACTAGTTGAATCTATTAATAAATACATTTCCCAAGCTCCATAAGAACCTTGGATCTATTATAAGTTAAAACTTCTGTAATTTAGGCAGGTGGATAAGCTACCTATTCAGATATATAATCTTTCTTTACCAGTCATACATGTCTGTAATAATACTCTTAAACATGTTAGATTTTTTTTTGGTTTTTCTGAAGAATTTTGCCTACCTTAGTTTGATCCTAAATTTTTTGCTATATTAGAATCTTTAATTGATAATTAACTGAAATCTTGAACTGTTTAATCAATATATAAAAGAAAAATAAACAAAACATATACTTCCACATGTTCTATGTCATGCTATATTACAATCAATGATGCAATTGGATAATTACGAAAGAGCAAGGTGTCAAGGTGTTCTCTTAATAAGAAATGGCTTGAAGTTTTCCTCTCTTCTCTTATGCCAGTTTCTTTCTCTTCAAGATTAAAGAAGGTTCTTATTAAACTAGCGATTGGTTTAAATAGGTTTTTATTTTATTAGTACAAACTCTTCTTTTCCTCTTTTATATATCTTTTTTATCTTCTCAAAAAATAAAAAATTTTATACTTTAAAATTACAGAGATTAAGTTGGGATAACAGTTTTGATAAAGAGTTGGCATTGAGATTTTAGAATAATAAGAAATATTTTTCTTTAATTAAATGATTTTTTTATTTCCCTTAATTATATCTAGAGACCATTAGTTGTTAATGAGTATGCCATATTTATACTATAAGTTTAATCAGTAATATATGTACAATCGATACTATATGTATTCTATAATATATATATTAGGATTATTTAGACCCAGAGTTTGAAGCCAATAAACTTAAGCATATGGCCTGATTAGGTATAAAAAAAAATTAAAGATGGATTCCTAAATTAATAACAAGAATATAATTCAAAATGTTTCTTTTTTTTTTGTAGAATGATATTAGATGTATGGTTTTTATTGAATAACTTATTAATTTTTATATTACATCAAACATCGTCTATTGTAATTACAACAGCTAAATGCTAGCCTATCTATTTATTACTCCAGTAATACTAGTGACACTTATCAAGTGGATTCATATTTTTTGGGAGGAACCTATCTAAGAGATGGAAATTCTACTACTAGTTTTAAACCATCCAACCTATTGATCCAATTTGTATAAGAGCAGAGAGTACTATTAATCAATTTCTAAGTTACTTATCACATCACACCTTCCTACCTATATAGCTGATATAGCAGAGAGGCCTCGATATCTTGATGTTTTCTTAATAAATGTTTCAGTTTTAACTGCTGGTTGGCTTTAAGCTATCAAATCTAGGGGCTCTTGTGGCCAAGTAAGGCATAACTCCTTAAGAAATTCCTTAATCTTCTAATAGATACTTTAGTTTCAGACTGGTTGGCTTAGGCTGCCAAATCTAGAGGCATAAATGCCAAGCAGAATACAACTCCTATGTCGATCAAGGAGAAACCATATTATACAAGAATGGTAATAGTACAGTGCTTTTTTTCAAAGCTTTCTTATTTGACAGTTAACAGGAAAGAAAAGTATCATACAGGTTTGATAAGATAGAGTACAGCTTAGTCTGTATATTCAAATAAGTGGTTGTAATGATAGTTGATAAGGGTTGGCTAAAATAGAATACAACCCAGTCTATACATTCAAATAAGTGATAACACTTTTCATTAGACGATCATCGTGACACCATCCAGATGATCATCACACCACTACACCTTAACAGGAAGATCATAATCTCAATGCCTGCTGGATTAGCATATGAAATGGCTTCTTATAAGAAACAACATATAATTGGCTATAGTATCAGATATCATGTTAATCTATTTAATTACCTTTATATAAAATATAATTCAAATGTTTCTTATTATTAAAAAAGTTTTTTTTAATATAAAAATAAAAAAAAAACTATTTGTAAAAATTTTTTGCAATTTAAATCATTTAATTCAAATGTCTTTTGAATTATGTTCCTATTAAAGTAAAGAGTAAATAATTATATCTCTTCCAAAAGGATATAATTAATCTACAGAATTTTATATACTAAATAGTTTTGGGATCATTCTTACTTGAAATATTCTTTATATCTAATTTATCACTTATATCTGATATACTATACTTATCATATTATCCTTATATTTTTTTATCATTTGCCTATTATATTTTCTCTATAACAATATAATATATATTTAAAAAAAAAAACAATATCTCTTATATATTATTATAATAAGTTAAATACTAACTTGTTTACAGTAATTATTTAACTTATATTAGAAAAGAAATTTTAAACTAGTATAGTTATTAAATAATATCAAACAGCTATAGTATATTGTTTACTTATAATTAGAAGTGATTAAATTATAATATTTAAAAATAAAATTAAAAATATATAAAGAGTAATTAAATTTGTTTTGAATAAATATTTCAGTAACATAAGTTGAAATATCTATTATAAGATTGCTTTTTTATAAAGATATTAATTTGTTTATTTTGATTTTATTTCACTTTATACTTATAGATAATATGTTTGTTATACTATATTATAATTTTAAATTAGATTGTAGAAGAGAATTAAGGTTTCAATTAATATTTTGAACCAGGTGATAAAATCTAAGATAGAGTAGATATTGATTATAATTTTATATATTAGTTTGATTACTTGCCATATTATAGTGTTACGGGAAAATCACAATAAGTCAGTTGCTTTGATCTAGCTTACATCATGTAATGTTAGGAGTCTTGTTCTGCTCAAAAAAGGTATGTGAGTTTGGCCAGAGTTCATAATACTTGATA